GGTCATAATGAAAATGGGATTCATCATTCAAGATATTTTCCCCTAGGCTAGTGAAAGAATTGGAGTGGAAAAATAAAGTCTTTTTGGAGTTTTTAATAATTAATATACCTCCATGGAAAATTTAAAGGGGGACCAGAGGATTTCTCGGACATGTGAAGTGAAAGTGATGGTGAAGCTTCACTTAGTGAAAGAACCACAGGGCATATAGCAGAACTTCAATATTTAGCTAATGGCAACAGTGTTCCATGGAATATGAAAAAGGTTAAGGAAAAATACATTCCTAAAAGAAAGGGAAAATGAATGGAAAAATAACCCACAGAAGGCACCATTGGTAGAGAACTCCAGGAATGTAACAATGCATTAAAACAGAGTTAGTCATAGGTTATTAAAGGAATAGACTTAAATTGTAAACTTTAATCAGTCAAATGGATTGGTGTAAAGTTTAATAAGAGTGATGTGCGGGACACAACCCTAGACACAGTATGGTAGGCAAAAATTAAATTACCATTCGTTAACATACTAGAAATATTTGTAAAAATGGCTGGATCAGATACATGGATTATAGAACTGGGCTGGTAAGGGTTAAATCTTAGACAGGCAGCCACAGCTCAGTTAACAAATCCTTTTGCTATTCCCAAAGCAAATTTTAAATGCAGGGTAAGACAAAGAGAGTGAACGGGGAATTGTTTTTGTGTTATTGTCACATTTTCTGTTATTATTCATTCTGAGCTTCAGATGAAATTGAAAATAAGAGGGAGAAATATTGTTCACATTCAATTTTTCATGGAAGTAAAGTGTCTTGATAATATAATACCTGGAGTATTAATCTTTGAATCCCATTGGCTGATTTAATATCTGTGACTTTTATGGACTGAAATAGTTATGTAAAGGCACCAAAAACACTGACTTGAATTAACTGCAGGCATCACCTGACTTGCATAGGGTGTGCACACTGTGTTATCTCTGACTCCAGCATCTGCAGTTCTTACTACCCCAAGAAATTTTGTATGTTTCAATGATATCACCTTTCATTTTTGTAAACTCCAACAAGTACAGACCCAGGCTACTCAACCTCTCAGAAGCCAATCCTCCATATCTGGGATCAACCTCGTAAACATTCTCTCGACTGCCTCCAATGCCAGTATATCTTTCCTTCGATAAGGGACCAAAACTGTTCACAGTACTCCGAGATGTGGTCTAACTAGTGCCTTGTTAAGTTTTAGCAAGAGTTATTCTTTTTATATTGTGTTGTCTTTGAAATAAAGACCGGCATTCCATTTGCCTTCTCGACCTGCTAAACTTGTGTGCTGGCTTTTTGTGACGAATGCATGAACACTTCCAAATCCCTCTGTGCTGCAGTTTTCTGCAGTTTTTCTCCATTTAAATAATATTCAGTTCCTCTATTCTTCCTGCCAAAGTGCATAACCTAACACATATTATATTCCAGCTGGCAAGTTTTTGCTCACTGGCTTAACCTGTTAATATTGCTTTGCAGACTCTCTGTACTATCTTCACCATTTGCCTTTCCATCCATTTTTGTGTCATCTGTAAATGTGGGTACAGCACATTTATTTCCCTTGTCCAAGCTATTAATGTATGTTGCAGTTAATTGTGGTCCCAACACTGATCCCTGTGGCATTTCACTAGTTACAGATCACCATTCTGAAAATGGTCCCCGTCCCGAATCTCTGTCAACTATTTGTTAGCCAATCCTCTATCTATGCTAATAGATATTTTTAATCAACCTGTTCAGACATATTATGCCACCCCTCTGTAACAGGTGGGCCTTGAACCTGGGCCTTCTGGCTCCAAGATAGGGACACTACCACTGTCTCACTACAGCACTGCTATCAATTCTATACCACCCCCAACAGCATGGGCTCTTATCTTATTAAGTAGGCTAATGTGCCAGATGGTAGATCTTCCTTCATAAATAAATTCATGGTTACATAATTCAGATTTATGTATGCAATGTTAAACTTTCCAGCAGTAATTAACAGTTAATTAAAACATGTTCTGCTAACAAGGGCACACATTTAGCACTTTCTACAAGCAGATTTCTCTGGCATATCCATTGCCTTTAGGCAGATAATCTCTTACATTTCAAAGATGGTGAGAAATTAACCTTTGTTGTGAATACATTTGTCACAATATTTCTGTGAGCGGTAATGAATGCAGACATTGGATCAGTTTCCACATGCATGACAATTTCCATCCTACCCCTCAATTTTCTACATTCTGCACTGCCAAATTGTTTTTTGATGTCCATTAATACATGATGTCCTGACATCCACAATTTCCTGCAGCTGAATATTGGAACCACCAAAGCTATTGTCTTCAGTCCCCACCACAAACTCCACCCTTGTCAATGATTACTGTTCACTGATGAGGTTGAAAAATACTGTTCAAAACCGTAGGACCCCTTAAAAAAAATCACTGGGTCCAGATTGTGTTATGGCACACATCTGAAGTAGGCGGGACTTTAACCAGGCCTTCTGGTTTAGAGGTAAGGGCAAAATCAATGCAGTGTGAGAGCCCTCCTGGATCCCTTCTGACCCCAAGGATAAATCTGCTGCAAGGGCACACTATTTTCTCATTTTTAAAATATTTTCTTATCAACCTGGTCAGAAATGTTACTTATTTTATTCACTAACCTGTTCGACAATGTTATTACATGTCTCTGGTTCAGATGGAACTTGAACCCAGACCTCTTAGTCCAGAGGTAGGGACACTACCACTGCACCAGAAGAGCTCTCCATGATCTCTTTTTCCTTCTGCTCTTATATTTGGAAGTGCTATCACACACAACTTATTTTTTCCATTACTTAATCATCCATGGTATTTTTTCATCTATTAACCATTTCCATTACATCACGCGTGTTTCCAATTGTTCAATTTATGTGCAGAGCCCATTAAGGGCAATGCAATAACACCAAAGGTAGGGGAATCAAAGTTCTTTTTTTAAAAATGCTTTCTAACAAACCTGTTCAGGAATGTTATGACACACCTGTGGAGCAGATGGGACTTAAACCCAGGCCTTGTGGATCAGAAGTAGGGACACTATTACTGCATTACATGAGCCCCTTCCAACATCTCTTTCTTCCTTTTTCCAACATCCCTTTTGACCACAAGGGACAAACTCCTGCAAGGGTACACTTGATTTATTGGTACTTTAGAATGATTATTTTCATCAAAGGACCCAATTTATTTGAGCAAATGAAACACCTGCCCTTTTCTCCTTTCAACAACCTTACTTAAATAGCTATTGGCGCAAAAGTGATTGGAAATAAGGTACTGAATTTGATGATTTTGTGTACAACCAATAATTTCACGCAAAAACACAAAAATCAGCACTACACAATTAGTGAGATTTGTGAATGAAATATTGTTGAATAGATAACTTCATCTCTTCATTCAAAAAAAATGCAAAACCAAGATCTCTGCAGTTATTTGCGTATTTTGACCTCGATACTATGCTTCAGATAGTCATAGAGTAATATAGCATGGGAGCAGACCCTTCAGTCCAACTCCTCCATGCCACCCAGATAACCTATATAAATCTAGTCCCATTTGCCAGCATTTGGCCCATATCCCTTTAAATCTTTCCTATTCATGCACCCATCCAGATACCCTTTAGATGTTGTAATTGTACCAGCCTCTACCACTTCCCCTCTGGCAGCTCATCCCATATTGGCACCACCCTCTGCATGAAAACATTGTTCCTTAAGTCTCTCACCTTAAATCTCTAGTTTTGGATTCCCCTAACCTGGGGAAAAGACCTTGGCTATTCAACTTATCCACACTCCTCACGATCTTATAAACCTCTATCAGGTCACCCCTCAGCCTCCCATGCTCCAGGGAAAATAGCCCCAGCCTATTCAGCTTCTCCCTATAGCTCAAACCCTCCAATCCCGGCAACAACCTTGTAAATTTTTTCACAGCCGTTTCAAGTTTAACAACATCTTTCCTATAGACCAGAATTGAATGCAGTATTCAAAAATTGGCCCAACAAATGTCCTGTACAGCCACAACATGACATCTCAACTCCTATACCTAATGCACTGACCATTAAAGGCACCTGCACCCTGTCTACCTGCAACACCACTTTCAAGGAACTATGAACCTGCACCCCAAGGTCTCTTTGTTTGGCAACACTCCCCAGGACCCTACCATTAAGTGTATAAGTCCTGCCCTGATTTGTTTTACCAAAATGCAACACCTCACATTAATCTAAATTAAACTCCATCAGCCTATCCGATCAAGATGCTGTTGTATTCGGAGATAACCTTCTTCTCTGTACACTACACAACCAATTTTGGGTGTCATCTGCAAACCTATCTCCTATATTTACATCCAAACCATTTATGTAAATGACAACGAGCAGTGGACCTAACACTGATCCTTGCGGCACACCTCTGGCCATAGGCCTCCAGTCCAAAAAACACTCTCCATACCACCCTCTGTCTCCTACCTTCAAACTAATTTTGTATCCAGATAGCTAGCTCTTCCTGGATTCCATGCGATCTAACCTTACCAACCAGTCTGCCATGCAGAACTTTGTTGAATGCCTTGTTGAAGTCTATATAGACATCATACGCTGCTTTGTCTTCATCAATCTTCTTTGTTACTCCTTCAAAATCTCAATCAAGTCAATGACAAACAACTTCCCATGCACAAAGCCATGTTGACCATCCCTAAGCGGTCCCTGCCTTTCCAAATACATGTAAACACTGTCCCTCAGAATCCCCTCCAACAACTTACCCACCACTGACATCAGACTCATTGGTCCATCATTTCCTGGTTTTCCTTACCACCTATCTTAAATAATGGCACCACATTAGCCACCCTCCAGTCTTTTTCACCACTGATATGCACTATCACCTTTCTGAAACTTTTGAAGCTTCTATTACTTTTGGCCAAAGTTCTTAAGGTTGCATTTATTAAAAAAAAACTTTAAACTTCGTAACATATAGCAAAATAATTTATTTGTTATAGTGAACAATTTTTAAGTTACCAGTGCATATTTTAATATTTGTCATAAATACATTTAAACTATGAATAGCATCTTTAATAATGTAACATTGGTTTACTATACTGTAGTGCACAGTGTAACACTACTATAAAATGATGTCAATTTCTTTTTTGTAGTAACAATGAGTACAACCAGTTCGATTTCTAAATGAATTTAAAACACCCATGATTAATATTCATTTAGCAGATATTCTGTACTATAAGGCTGAACTGCACACATCTTAAATATTCATAGAGGTGATGTATCTCCAAGACGTATTGCTTATTATGAAATTAAAATGTGCCTTTGCATTGAAGTTTAGGCACATAGTGCAAGATTTGCCTTGGATTAATGCAAAAACTTCAAAATTTCCCTTTCATGTAAAGTAATACTTGTAAGCAGAGTTTTGGTTTTAGGGAATACATTATAAATATTGTGTTAGAAAAATCAAAACGAGTTCTGTTGCAATTATATGTAGTTTACAATAATAGGAAACTTTGTCTGTACTTAATGTTTGGTATGAAAAATTAAACTAATCCACTCAGATTATGAAACTAACAGACTTAGACTGTGAAACTACTGTAATTAGGTGAAGTTAATATAATAATTAAAAATGACCACTTACCCACCTAATAAACAAAGACAAATTTTCATGTAAGATGTACTTAAATTTATCTTGCCATTCTCTAATGGTATTTTGTTTATCATCGCACAGCATTTACTTAATGCTGACTGATTCTTTCATGCTCATATTAGTATAATGTTATTGTTGTTGCACTTTTGACAAAACAAATCAATAATAAAACAGATGGCTGCAATTCATCAATTGATTTGATATGGTATTACTAAAGCCAATTTGGTGTACATGCATTTACCACCATCTGAAAAATTATGCATCTTGCAGTAGAATTATTGGGACTCTTTTCAGCATTCAGCTTCAAAGAATTTCAAATTACTTTTTTTTTATTGCTACAATATCAAATATATTAGCACAATCATAAAGTTGCTACTTGATTTACTTCAGCCCAAATCTTGAATAGCTGTTTTGAATGATGTATTAGCATGCAGGTTATAATATTATTTATCATTTAATACGTATGTTTACATAACAGGGATTCACACACTTGCAAAACTGAATAAAATTAGCAGCATGTCTTACAGAGTTAATGTATATCGACCATGCTCCCAGTATATTTTAAACTTATAATTACTTGCACCACAAATAGCACCATAAAGTCTGTTATGCCCCTAAAACATCAATGCAGTTTCTAATGTTCCCTTCTTCTTTTGAACAACTTAGTAAGATGCTATATCTTTTATAACAAAATTCTGCAAAAGTTATGTCACAAAAAATCTTCTAACATACTATGTTGCATGTTTTGTGGTTCTAAATTTAGCAATTTTATTTGTTATTTTAATTAACAAGAGGTTTGCTGTTTCAGCTTTTCATACCATATCCTTAATATAAGTGAATCAGCCTGTTAACCATTATATTTCATGTAAATTAAGGTGCATCAAGATGGTCACAGCATGCATTAATATTTGACATATTATTATCAGCAGCACATTAATTTACACAACAGGTTACTGTTATTGCAAAATAAAAAAAACTTATTGTGAGCCCAATTTTTGTTCCCTTTATGCCACTTTGACCTTATGGAATCTATTCTTCCTGCTTAACAATTTTCTACCAGTGTACTCATTTTTGGTTAATAAGGCCTAATGAAAGTTAACCAGTGCAATAACATACGGCTGCAAATACCCATATATTTACATAACCTTTACCAAAATTACTCAATGTGATAACAGTACATATTCTTTTGTTTCCTGATTAAAAGTGCAGAGGTAAATTCCAAGTTAAAAACACTCACAATATAGTACATAGCACCACCATTTAAAAATGGCTTTTCAGTTGGTTTTTGGTTTACTAGATGTGTAGTGATAAGTAAACAAGTCAAAAATAGAGTGTCAATAAAATGACCTTTTCTTACAAAGCTACATATTGTGTGTTATATGTACAAACAGTGCTTTACACTGTTGGAGCCTTACATTTAAAGATAAAACATAGAAGTATCCTTTCACAAAACATTTTTAAGAGAAATAAATATAAACACAGATCATAAATACAATATTACACATCAAAATGTCCAGAGTTATCAACAGACATAGATCACAGAGGTATATATGAGTTTGCCCTTCATCTTGTTCCAGCTTGCCTCACATAATGTTTCACCTCCTTAATAATTCACATGCCTTGAACACCTACTAAAAAGGATAAATAATCACTCAGTTAAAACCAAGCCACTGAATCAAAGAATGCAACAGCAAAATTTACCCAAATCCTGTAAATGAAGAGCGAACTGATAGACTACACTACAAAATCATGAAAATATAACCTGAAAGGTGTTAACAGAAAATCTGTGCTGCTAATACAATAACATCTTTTTTCTTGCACACAAAGGATTTCAAAATTATCTACAAAATAGAACTAAGTTAGGAAATGTAATCATAAAAAATTGAAAAATATCAAACTATAATAAAAAGCTGAAAATATATAGTGCAAATAATAGCACGAATAGTTCATGTCTGGTGAAAACCGAACAACACATTTTGAGGCACTTAAATAGAAGATTACTGTTTCTGTACTAATGATTGTTGTAGTAAATTCTTATTTTTGCAATTAATATGTTTTCATAATCATTAATTTTAGAGAGCAAATGTGTGCTTATAGTTTTCAGAAATGCTCATACTTAAATCTTTTACTTTCCTATGTCCATCCTTTTGTAACCCTTTACGTTCATTGCTATTTGTACCAGACAATCTTTTGTCTGTATAGTCCCCAATTCAGCGTAGAGAGAAATAATGATTTTTCATTGAAGTTTACAATCTAAAAAGTTTAAAGAATCTATAATTTGGAATTGTATTGTTTGTTGAACTTTGTTTAATTCGGAATAAGAACACAGTTTATCACATAGTAAGTTCAATAATAGTCCTGTAATACTTTTCAACCAGAAACTGGTTAGCTCACTCAGCTAATGTATGAATTATTTTACTGCCAATAGCACAGCTTTCAATTCCCGATCCAGCTGAATTGGATTTGGATCTGCCTCTTTGTCCTATCTGTAATAAAAATCATGGCACTTTACTATGATCAGGTGAATAATCAGCCTCCAGGCAGAGAACTCGAGGAGTTTGAATACTTTTCAAAAAACTAATGAGCTATTTCACCAATATAAATGTTAATTAACAAGCAAATTGATCAACTGTTTTGCATGTGTTATAAAAATATGTCCTTATACATTTCTCTTGTACAGATGTACAATATTATATTTTAATGACAATAGAGCAAACAAATTGACAAGTAAACACATTCAGTGATGAAGTACCAACTGCTGCTTTCACAGATGAGGAAGAATCCAATTGCCTGTGCGGTGCACCTGAACTACATAATTTGGCAGAACATCAAGTGTGAACATCAGTACTCAAAAATACTTTAGCAAAAATGATCATATGGCAGACAAATTTGATACTAAGACTGTAAGGGAGGAACAAGGTGAGTCACAGCATGAGTAAACCCCTATGATATCTCTCTGCCACCCCTCCTCCCACTGCCTCAGGTTTTGCGCTAGGACTCTGTAGTGATGGTAATGAGGTCAGCCAGGTGGACCTCATAGAATATGAGTTCCTTGACTGGGGTTGTTAATCTGGTCCAATCAGGGAGCTCTAGCTGACAGATATAAACAGAAGGTTCTGCTCACACTGAGAGCTGGGCTAGTGTCAAGGACCCTCGATGTGGAAATAAAGTGTGACTTGGTGACGGGATACCAGCCTCCATGAAATGACAGAAAAGCATGTTCCTGAAGAAATTCACTTGCAACAGTTGTCTTTGAATTGGGGAAAGCATTTCTGCATCATATTGTTATTTGGGAAACTTGAGACATTCGATCCTGCCATTGAAGACTGCACCCAGTATGTGGAAAGAATGCATTATTTTTTCTGGGCAAACAATATTGGGGCAGATGAAAAGTGCCAAGTCATTTTCCTGACAGCTTGTGGGCCCACAGCTTTTTTGGTTATTGGGAGCCTTACATTTCCTAAGGCACCAAGTACTAAAACCTTTCAAGAGTTGACAGAATTAGTTAAGGAATATTACGATCCCAAGCCTCCTTTAATTCTGATACACTTTCAGTTTTATTTGGCAATTCAATAACTGAGAGAATGTGTATTGGGATTTTTGACTAAGTTAAGACTGGCAGAGACATGTGACTTTGGTTTAACCCTTAGTAAGATGCTGAGAGACCATTTGGTATGGGGGATGAATGATGTAACCATGCAAAAGCTCCTACTGGCTAAAACCCAACTAGACTTCAAACAGACACTACAACTGGCTTTATCATTAGAAAATGTAGCAAGTGGAGCATATGAGTTGCAGGCTATTCCAATGGAATAAGACACCCATGCCAGTCTGACTGAGCATAGCGAACACCACTTGAGTGAAGGCAATTGCCTAGCCTCACTCAGGACATATCCTGAACAGAGAGACTTGAGGTTAGCCCACAGAAAAACCCCAAAACAAAGCCAGGCGTTGGCCAAACAGTTGAAGTTTTCTTCAGCGGGATCCGGCAAGCCATTGTAGTTGCTGCTGTTTTACGGACTTGAGACAGCAAAAGAGTCCCACTAGACCTAAATGTTGTAAGTGAACTCTTAGGCTTTGGAACAGTTAAATTGTTTGGCAACATTCAAATCAGAACCAATCAAAATAAACGTCTGATTAGATAGTCACCAGGTTCTAATGGAGGTTGATACTGGCGCAGCCATTTCAGTGATCGCAGAACCAGTCTTTAACAAAACTTTCTCTGGACTCCAACCCTTAAGTTTGTGCAAGACCTCAGCTAGGCTGAGAACCTCAACCAGGGAACCTGCACAGATTAAGGGTACCAGTTTTGCTCTGGTCTCTTATGAGAAGCAGCTGGTTCAGTTACCACTGGTTGTTGCAAAAAGCTCAGGCTGAAGCTTGATGGGATGACATTGGTTGAGAAAGATTCACCTTGATTGGCACAACATTTTTAATTAAAAAAATGTTGCCTGAGTGAAGTCCTAATTAAGTACCTGGAATTTTATCAAGAAGGTCTAGGACTATCAAAAGAGCCAAGGCCACCTTGCATGTTGACCAGGAAGCAATTCCATGATGCAAGGCCTACCCAGTGCCATTTGCCTTACGGGCAAAAGTAGAGGCAGAAATCAGAAGGCTGGCAAGCAAAGGAATCATCAAACCAGTCCAGTCTGCAGAATGGGCAGCACCGTTCCTATCGATTATGAAACCTGATGGGTCATTTGTCTTTGTGGAGATTTTAAACAAACTGAAAACCATTTTGTGCAGCTGGACTTATACACAAAGCTAGCGGGTGGTGGGGGCAGTGTGTCCTTCATGGTCATGAACCGTGCATACTTGCAACTATTGTTAGATGAGGATTCCCAGAAGTATGCTACAATTAATACCTAAAGGTCTACCTCAGGTTTCCATTTATCTAGACAATGTGCTAATAAAAGGAAAGACCACTAAGAAGCACTTGGAGAACTTGGACATAGTCCTTAGATGTTTCTCCCAGGTAGGCGTATGCCTTCAAAGGGAAAAATGTGTGATACAGGCACCCCAAGTGACCTACTTGGGCTAGAGAATCGACAACGCTGGGTTACACCCGTTGGAAGATAAAGTGAGAGTTATCAAAAGTGCCCCAGATCCCACATCTGCAGCAGAACTTAGGTCTTTCTTGGCTGGTGAATTATGAGGGAAACTTCACAGGGAATTGAAGAAAAAGCTATTATCCTCTACAATCTCAAGCGAGATCTGGTATTGACATGCAGTGCCTCCCTGTATGGCATCAGGGTAGTATTAGCTCATAGATGCCCAGTTGTGAGGAACACCCAATAGCATATGCTTCCAGGACTTTGGCTAAAGCAGAGTGTAAATATACCCTGATAGAGAAGGAAATTTTGGCTGTCATATTTGGAGTCAGGAAACTCCATCAATATCTTTACAGGTGTAAATTAGTAATAATAACAGACACAAACCCCTGCCAGGTCTACTTAAAGAAGACAAGACAGTGCCACCCATAGCTTTAAGCAGAATTCAGCAGTGGGCTGTAATACTAAGTTAATATAATTAAAAGTTGGAACACCGTCCAGGAGGCCAAGCAGCAAATGCAGATGCGTTGAGCCGCCTCCCTCTGGGAGATACACCACCTGTGGGTACCGCCACTGCAAGAGTCTGTAATGATTTTAAATTTTCTGGACACATTTCCAGTCACAACTAACAATATCAGACTTTGGACACAGAAGGATCTGGTCCTGGCAAAATGAAACTGCTGGTGGTGATGGGGGAAATGAAAGAGCTGTCACAACCAGAGTTGAAATCTTTATGGACTTGGAGAGACCGTATCACAGTAGAAGATGGCATATTATTATTTGGAGCAAGCGTGATTATCCTGAGCAAATATTGCCACCAGATACTGGCTGAACTCGACTAGGGTCATCCAGGGGTGTCCAAAACAAAGATGTTGACAAGAAGTTATGTCTGGTGGCCAGAAAGCTGTGTTGGTGGGGCAGTGTCCAGAGTGCCAACAAGAATAAAAATTACCACCAGCAGCTCCCCCACATTTGTGGGAATGGCTGGGTAAACCCTAAACTCGGTTACACATCAGCCATGCAGGTCCTTTCATGAGCTCAATGTTCTTAGTCATTGTGGACGCCCACTCAAAGTGGCTGGATGTGTATAGAGTTCATTCGTCACAAACAGTGATGATGATAGAAAAACTGCACGCAACGTTTGCAATACACAGACTCCCGGAAGTGTTGGTCATAAATAATGGACCATTGTTTAACAGCAGGGAATTTGAATATTTTCCAAAGTCGAATGGTTTTTGTCAAATAAGGACAGCTCCACACCATCCATTATTCAATTATCTGCAGGAAGAGCAGTCCAAACTTTGAAGGCAGGCTTAAAGAAACAGCCTTTAGCTTCACTAGATCCCAAATTGTCCCAGTTCCTCTTTGATTATGGGACCACCCCTCATGCACCTACAGGGATAGCTCCTGCAGAGTAGCTAATGGGGAGAAGACTCTGCATCTGGTTAAATTTGATCTTCCTGGACACTGGGGATGGTGGAAGTGGGAAGGGGGCAAGGGTGTTGGTGAAATGGCATCAGGAATGCCAATGTCGGACACAAGATTCTGCTAAGGGGATGAAGTTTGATGTAGGCACCACAGGAATGGCCCTGCATGGGTAAGGGGTATGGTTGATGCGAGGTCAGGTCCAGTCATGTATAAAATTTGGGTAAGTGCGTCATGCTGAACAAGCACGTGGACCATATGACAGCTGCAAACTCGCAAACAGTGCGGGAGCAAAATGCGATAGGCTCCTCGATGGCCTTTCCAGAAGCTGTAAGTTCTCCCTTTCTGTCAGCATTGAAGATACCTTGGAATCTGAAATGGACACAGCCGATGTCGCCACCTCGACGCCTTTGCTGCCTGAAGAGGAGAATGAATTTCTTCTGATACACTCCGGGCACAAGAGGCAAGCTACTGTGCATTACATGCTGCTTGTATCAGAGGTAGAGTTGGAGGAACCTGAGCTGGTACTAAAATGCCCCAGGAGGAGCTACAAAAAAAAAAACTGGCCTATGTCCTCGGACTCAGAGGGGCGGGCATCTAGTGATTGTAATGAGATCAGCCAGGTGGACCTCATAGCATATGAGTTCTCTGATTGGGACTGTTAATCTGGCCCAATCAGGGAGCTCCGGCTGACAAATCAGAACAGGAGGAACATCCTGATCATTCGGACAGCTGACTCTGAGGGAGATGGATCAGTATCAAAGGCTCTTCACTTGTAAATGGAAGGTGACTTGGTGACAGGATATCAGCCTCTGGAGTTAATTCAATGTACTTTAAATTCACTGGATGAAAATCCTTGGGTGAAATTTTTTGGTAGGGAGTAAACGCGTCAATTGCATTTCTTCGAATAAGTGCAGCAAATGCTAGTGAGGAAAGAGTAGGAGCAATCTTCTTGAATCCTCCCATCAAATTTTCATGAAGTAATATATTGAAGATGAAACCCACCAAATTCAACACCAATTACGCCGTCACTCAAACAACATGGATCCTTGTTCCTTAAAGGCTAAGTCGGGATGTTGCCATAGTAGGCTCGGGAGATAGCATGCTTATTAAAATGTCTGAATCAGAATGAGCCCATCATCTCTGCCATGTTTCACTTGAGAAGCATGCAATCTGCGAGACATTTGGCGATCCCTTCATTGTCCTGTAGTCAAGCATCCATTAAGAACAAAGGACAGATACCTTCCAATGGCACAAACAGTGCAAGGTTCCAGAGTTTCTCCTGAAACAACATCCCCTCGCACACTCATTTACTTTGTTAATTCTTATTTTTCATTCTCCTTCCATTCATCATGACGACAAGGAAACACAAGTTTGTCTCAGTGTATCAAAGTTCCTAGTGATTTATTGCACAACACTTTAATACAGTTTATAACAAAAACACAAGAGATCACAAATTGACATCACCAACACAGTGACATTCGCTCATGCCCACTCTTTCAAGTTGCTTCTCTTGTGGCTGCGGGTGAGTTGGAATCAACCTCCTTGCTAATGCCTGCCTGAACCTCTTGACAGTTGGGCTCACTATGGACGTTCCAGGAAGGATAGAGTGCTCCAAAGAATCTTGTACTAGTATCACATCAGGAGCAGTCTCTGTAACAGACTGTAAAGATACAGATAGTTCCTTTGTCAGAGGGACTACAGAAGTGGCTGATGATGATTTTGAAGCCTTATGAGGTTTGACATTTTCATCACCATCTGCTAGATCCTCAATCCTTTCATGGCATCCTTGATCACTGGAGGGAAACATCAACTGGAGAACAGCTGGCATTCATGCCACGCTTCTTTGTATAATTTGTGTCATTGATCCATCAATCCTATAATCTGTAACATACATTCTGTCTGCCTTTCCTACTTTAAATGATATGGATGTGGTATTCAATGAGATTAGTCACTCTCTCAATGAAGGAGCTGATGAGCTTTGAAATACAGTCATTGTGAAGTGTGTGGGTCTCATCCATTCTCATCCCATGATTCTGCAGTGTTTCAGCTAACTTCTGACATGTGACAAAAATATCTCATCTTGAATTTTCATGACCCCAAATCTTTGCATCTTCTCCCAGCTGAGCAGGGCTCAACTGAACCTCTTTCCTCTGAGGATGACTAACCACAGGCTAACCTTGCTGCCCTCCTACTCTCCTGCTATAATGTGAGGTGCACCCAACCTGTACCACTACCTCAGAGGACCCACTGAGGTACAAATGTCTTCACTGGTGAAGGGTTCACAACAAAGATGTAACAATCCAGACTTTAATGTGTCACCCTCCTTTGATTCCTCAAGAATATGTAAGGAGCTCCCCACTCCCCCCCATAATATAATTGATCCTGAAAGAGACATTTGATAAGGTAGTGACTGTTTTCAGCAGAAGAGTTTTATTCCAGTTGAATATTATACTTCAAATGATCTGGGGCAAAATTGAGTGTGAGACCTTTCAACCTTCAAGTCACATGCTATGATACATTAAGATATCATGAGCATGACTCTTAAAGGCATGCTGACATACTTACCTTGAGACTGAAATAACTCCACAGAGGCTGGTATCCAGTCATCAAATCACCCTTTATTTACACGTGGAGAGTCTTTGACACTGATCCAGTTCCCTCTGAGCCAGCTCTTAGAGTCAGCAGGATGTCTGACACTCTTGTTCTTATCTGTCGGCGAGGGCTCCCTGATTGGACCAGATTAACAGCTCCAGTAAGGGAACTCATATTCTATGAGGTCCACTTGGCTGACCACGTTATAATCACCACATACACCTGCAGGAAGCAAGCATACCTGCTGCATAAATGGGATGAAAGAATCTAATCTTGGTTTTAGGAGGCAATATAAATCATTTGCATATTAATGGACTTTCCTGAGGATAACACTTCAGGATAAATTATTAGATCTTTTTTACGCTGATGGGATTTGGGATTCCTTGAATGTGGAGCTTGAACGAGCTATAAATGGTAGGCAGAACTCCTGCCCTGCCATATTTTTCCTAGTAGAGTGGAGCTCAAAGGATTTCTGTTTACCAATGAAGGAAACTTTGACCAATACTTCCTTTTGTAAAGCTTATTCATTATTTTGTTATTGGTGCAACTTTCAGAGAAAGTAGAATTATGCAATATTGACGTAACGCATGATGTTTTAGGCTGCAGTTGTATTGGACTTATTGATCTGGGACTGGTTGTTCCTGAATTTGAAGAAACTTTTGAGAAAGTACTTAAAACAATAAATACCTGAGCTAAAGCAACTGTACATATAATCCTGTTCCTGAATATGGGATGCATTTGCCACAATAACCTCCACATTTCCCAGTCACTTTGGCGCCATTCTGTGGATAGAATAGGATTTACATCACTGTAGTCAATGAATGATAAATCAATCCATTAATGTCTAAAGAAGTTAATAAAGCTGTTTAAGACACAAAATGAAAAAATTGTCAACTTTTTTTTTCCTCTCCTATATACACACATGCAACACTCGTTTTAAAAATGCTTGTTGGATAACTTCATAAGTATTAGACCTAAGATAATAACACACAGCCAGTACATGGCTGTTACAAATTATGTACTGTGGAGCATAATCTTGTGCCATCCTCCAACCACTTATTTTAACTAGTAGTATGTTGTGCACACTGACAAGTATACACAAAATAATCTAGAAATGTGAACAACGATAATAATGGTAAAACTCATTTTTGAAAAATATCCATGATCTGACTGTGAGAACACAAGAATGTGTCAAGAGATATGGCGACTCCATCTTAGCAGCTCACTTTGCTGTTTGACTTATTTATTTTTGCAACACTACCACATCAAACAATTATTCTATTTCTTAGAGAAGCAGGAATTCTTATAATTCAATTTCAAATATTTTTGTTGAGTTATCTTCCTGTGCAGAAGTTGTTCATACAGTTCCATTTTGTATAGGCTTTTAAAATCATATTGGGTTTTCTATTACAGATTTTTCTCCATTGAAACTGATTTACCAGACCTTTTTCATCCACTTGGTTTATCAATTTCTCTTGCTAATTTGACCCTCCCATCGATGCTGCTTGCAAAACTGCCAACTTTTTTATGCTGTACATTTGGATATATGGTTTCCAATCCCATTATCTAAGTTATTAATGAATGCAGTGACGAGTTGAACCCACAAAAGAGAACTTTGGAAGATTATAGTTTGATGTTTGCAATGTTCTTATCTACTTCTATTAAAACCCACTTTCGGAAACAATTTAATCCTACTAAATTGTTGCTGTTTATACCATTAATATTTCCATTACTGTTATCTTGTTTATGTTAATTTTGTTGAGTTTTTGGGCTGAATTTTCCTATGGGTGTGAAAGCAAATTTGTTGAGCGGTAATATGATTTTCCTCCTCATTGCTAACCTTGTGTTTTTGTCCTCTGACCTTTCTGTGGCTTGAGGATGCTTGGTATGCAAAAAGCCCATACACCCACATTGAGATCAGGCTCCCCATTTTAAAGGGCGACCAAAATTGGATTTCATCCCACATGCCATTTCATCTGCTGGCTTGAACATTTGGATGTACATTAGTAATACACTTGGTGTAAAAGTTTGTGGAGAAAATACAAAACTGACTGAGGAGTCTAGAATATTCTGTAAAGTGGCTGTAAAAGGTTTTGGCACTTTACAATGTCTCTATTAGATGCTGTATTATAACGTAAATGAGCTTTTAAAGCAATGATTCATTATACGGATCTGTTCTGTGAAGTTGACAGTTGCATTGATCAGCATTGGGTAATCGTTTAGCTGCATTAGAGTACTTTCCCAATGGACAAACTACGATAATGTAGTAAAATTGTAAAACAAAAAGGACCAAAGAAAAAGGACAGTCTAAGGACTGAATGCTGGTATTTGGTAGATAAGAGTCAAAACCTTTTCGTACTAATCTGACTTTTTTTTGTAGTCAGCGTTTAAGTTAAATTTCTAGGTTATGTTGTAAAGTTGCCAGACTTATGTAGGCTTTTAACAAGGTCTCCATTGGAACAGCAGCTGGGGACAGTTTATTAAAGAAACAGCCAAAATGAATTCCCCTTTAACTGGCTAAACTAGGCCTTTTGTTTTCGGAATACATAAACCTAGCTAACATAGTGCAACACAGCACTTGAGTGTGACTGACAATAGAGTGCTGGGAATTGATGAGTAAAGAGTTGTGGAGGAAGGGTTTTTTGCTTTTTTTTCTCTAACACTTCCAAACACCAGGAACCGATTATTTCTTTGCTACAGGAGAGGAAACTCATTATTTGGTGAGAAAGTGACGTTTGCTTATTCTGTTTCTAAGGTTCAAAATAATATAGCAACTGATGGTAAAGTTAATAAAATATATATGTGATGTGTCACAACTGCACCATGTGGGAGCTCCTGATTGCATTGTTATCCAGGTTGAACATATTGACACTGAGTGCTTAATGTTTGAACAGTTCCAGGTCAGAGTTTGCGAGCTGTTGAACTAAGGACACTGTGGCATATCAAGGAATGAGAAAGTTTCTTGGTTTCTTTTTACCAGGAAACAGTCACAGTTCTTAGGATATGGCCTTTTATTTCAACGTTGAGGGGCAATAGAATGCGACTGCAAGTGAGACAGTTAAGGGGACATTGAGGGCAAGAGCACAGGAGCACTCTTTATGACAGTTCAATAGGTTTTGAGGTCCTTTCAGTTTGTTCGAATGAAAATGGATGTTGGAGGGTTGTTGATTCAACTGGCCAGAGCACCATGGTATAGGAAGCCATTCAAGTAGGGTGGAGCAAAAAGGAATATAGTGGTATTGGGAATCGGTTTAATTTGAGGGATTGACACTGCTCTTTAGTAGCAAAGAGCGTTGATCCAGAAAGCTGCCTGCCTGGTGCCAGGATTTGGGACATCTGGGCAGGGCTGGAGAGGAACTTGCAGCGGGAGTGCAAGTGTCCTGTTTTCATGGTTCATGTAGATATCAACTACATACTCAGGACAAAGGATGTTCTGCTGTGTCAATACAAATAGCAAGACACCCCTAAAATAAGCAGCAGAATCTCTGGATTATTACCTGAGCCACATGCAAATTGGCATAGAGTAAATCAGATTAGAGAGATGAACAAGTAGATCAAATACTGGTGTGAGAGAAGTGCATTCTGGTTTGTGGGGCACCAGCACCAATAATGGTGCTTGTTAGGATATTATGCTGATGAACTGTTCTGGGGCCAGTGTTTTTGCGAGTCAATAATAAAGAAATGGAGAGGATTTAAAACTAAGTCATGCAGGTAAGGAATAAAATTTGGAATAATGTAGTAAATCAAAGAGTAAAGATAAGACAAAAGAGAAAGGTATTACTACGATAAACAGACTGTCACAGGAAAGGATAGAGGTATGAACCTAAGAGTAAATCAACAGATATTGCTACAGGATACAAAAAGAAAAAAGTTTAGAACTGAAAACTGTGTATCTGAATACACATAATATTTAAACCAAACTGGATGACCTGAGAGAGTAAATAGAAATATGTGCATCCTGTTAGCAATTACAGAGAAATGCTGCAGAGTGAGATGGATTGCTACCTATATACTGAAGGAAAAGGATACTGTGGATGATTACTCTAGGTCAAATTGGCATAAGGAGGGGGGAAGTGTTGGGTATTCTAAAAGGCATTAGGGTGGACAAGTCCCCAGGTCCGGATGGGATCTATCCCAGGTTACTGAGGGAAGCAAGAGAGGAAATAGCTGAGGCCTTAACAGATATCTTTGCAGCATCCTTGAGTACGGGTGAGGTCCCAGAGGACTGGAGAATTGCTAATGTTGTCCCCTTGTTTAAGAAGGGTAGCAAGGATAATCCAGGTAATTATAGACAGGTGAGCCTGACGTCAGTGGCGGGGAAGCTGCTGGAGAAGATACTGAGGGGTAGGATCTATTTACATTTGGAAGAAAATGGGCTTATTAGTGATAGGCAGCATGGTTTTGTGCAGGGAAGGTCATGTCTTACCAACTTGATAGAATTCCTTGAGGAAGTCTCAAAGTTGATAGATGAGGGAAGGGATGTAGATGTCATATACATGGACTTCAGTAAGGCATTTGATAAGGTTCCCCATGGTAGGCTGATGGAGAAAGTGAAGTCGCATGGGGTCCAGGGTGTACAAGCTAGATGGATAGAGAACTGGCTGGGCAACAGGAGACAGAGAGTTTTAGTGGAAGGGAGTTTCTCAAAATGGAGAACTGTGACCAGTGGTGTTCCACAGGGATCTGTGTTGGGACCACTGTTGTTTGTGATATACATAAATGATCTGGAGGAAGGTATAGATGGTCTGATGAGCAAGTTTGCAGATGACACTAAGATTGGTGGAGTAGCAGATAGTGAAGGGGACTGTCGGAGAATACAGCAGAATATAGATAGATTGGAGAGTTGGGCGGAGAAATGGCAGATGGAGTTCAACCCAGGCAAATGCGAGGTGATGCATTTTGGAAGATCCAATTCAACAGCGAACTATACGGTAAATGGAAAAGCCCTGGGGAAAACTGCTGCACAGAGAGATCTGGGTGTTCAGGTCCATTGTACCCTGAAGGTGGCAACACAGGTGGATAGAGTGGTCAAGAAGGCATACGGCATGCTTTCATTCATCGGATGGGGTATTGAGTACAAGAGTTCGCAGGTCATGTTACAGTTGTATAGGACTTTGGTTCAACCACATTTGGAATACTGTGTACAGTTCTGGTCGCCACATTACCAAAAGGATGTGGATGCTTTGGAGAGGGTGCAGAGGAGGTTCACCAGGATGTTGCCTGGTATGGAGGGTGCTAGCTATGAAGAGAGGTTGAGTAGATTAGGATTATTTACATTAGAAAGATGGAGGTTGAGGGGGGACCTGATTGAGGTCTACAAAATCATGAGGGGTACAGACAGGGTGGATAGCAAGAAGCGTTTTCCCAGAGTGGGGGACTCAATTACTAGAGGTCACGATTTCAAGGTGAGAGGGATAAAGTTTAAGGGAGATATGCGTGGAAAGTTCTTTTCGCAGAGGGTGGTGGGTGCCTGGAACGCGTTGCCAGCGGAGGTGGTAGAGGCGGGCACGATAGCGTCATTTAAGATGTATCTAGACAGATACATGAATGGGCAGGGAGCAGAGGGATACAGATCCTTGGAAAATAGGCGACAGGTTTAGATAGAGGATCAGGATCAGCGCAGGCTAGAAGGGCCAAAGGGCCTGTTCCTGTGCTGTAATTTTCTTTGTTCTTTGTTCTTTGTTATGAATAGGAAGCTAGGAAAAGGTGGAGGGGTGGTTCTATTAGTTAAATTATGGTATCAGCACAATAGAGTGAGATAAAAACCAAAAGAACTGCAGATGCTGTAAATCAGGAACAAAAACAAAGTTGCTGGAAAAGCTCAGCAGGTCTGGCAGCATCTGTGGAGGAGAAAACAGAGTTAACATTTCGGGTCCAGTGACCCTTCCTCAGAACAGTTCTGGCAAGAAGTCACTTGTGGAAGTGATCCACAGGCTCCCTGACAGTAATTGCAAAGTAGGGTGGAGGATAAAGAAAGAAATAATGGGAGTTTGTCAGAAAGGCATGGCGTTGGTCATGTTAGATGTTAATCTAAATATGGAGTAGAAAGGCCAAATAGACAAAGGTAGCCGAGATGAGGAGTTCGTTGAATGTTTTCCGGATAGTTTCTTAGAGCAGCGTGCTCTGGTGCCAACTAGACAATAGACCATACTAGACATGGTATCATGCAGCCTGTTAGGATTAATTAACGAATTCATAGAGAAAGTGCCCCCAGGTAGCAGTGACAATTATATGTTTGAGGGAAATAGGACTGGTAGTGAGATTATTTTTATTTCAAAAACTTTTAAAAAGACGAATTATGAATACATGAAAACAGAGCCGATTGAGGCAAATTGCCAAACAAGATTAAATAATAGGTCAATGCAGATGCAGTTGAATACATTTTTAAGGAGTTATTTTCCAAACAGGCAGAATAGATTAATTCCAGTGATTTAAGAACAGTTCAGTGGGTGGACCCACCATCTGTGGTTTACTATCAACGTTAAAGATCGTAACAAACCAGAGAAAGCTTTTATTGGTGCAAAGACAAGTGACACATAAGAAGATTGGACAGAAAATTTTTAAAAGAGCAGAAAATTACTAAAACATTATGAAGGAAAGAAACATTTGAAAGAAAGCTAGACAGAAAAATAAAAACAGATAGTAAAGTTCCTATAAATATTAAAAAAAGAATAGTTATCAAAATTAATGTTGGTTCAATGGAAAGTGGATCTGAGTTGATAATGGAAAATAAGCAGAGGCAGATTATGGAGCAGGTATTTTATAATGGTCTTCATGCGTGAGTATAAAAACAATATCCCAGAAGCAGCTATAAATCAGGGAATTGAAGTTAGAACTCATGAAACCTACATTCATTAGAAAAGTGGTATTAAATAAACTAATGGAGGTGTGGGTTGACAGGTCCTGATGGTTTGCATTCGAGGGTCATTAAAGAAGTGACAAGTGAGAAAGTTGATGCACTAGTTTTTAATTTCACAAAACTCCTTAGATTCAGGCAAGGTTCCATTAGTTTGGAAAATAGCAAATGTAACTCCTTTTTCCAAAAAAGGAAGGTAGGCAGGTAGAAAACTGGAAACTACAGGCTAGTTAGCTAAACATTTCTTGATAGGGAAAGATTAAATGGCATTATGAAAGATGTTATGGCAGTGCACTTGGATACGTTCGAGCTAATCTGACTTGAGTCAGAGGCTAGGCTGGTATCTGCTGGATTTAGAAGAATAAGTTATCTTGATTGTGAAATATGAGATCCTGAGGGGTATTAGCTGGTTAGGCATGGAGAGGCTATTCCCTCTGATGGGAAAATCTTGAACTAGGGCGTCATTGTTCAAAAGTAAATGGTTGCCCATGTAAAACAGATGTGAGATTAAAATTATCATGCAAATATGGAACTTTATTCCTAAAAAGGTGGTGTAAATAAAATCTTTTAATATTTTAAAACAGATATATATTCTTGCTAAGCAAGGACATGGTTGGGAATGTGGGTTGCAGTTGTAATCAGATCAGCCATGATCTTATTGAAAGGTGGGGCAGGCTCAAGAGGCCAAATGCCTACTCCTGCTCTTTGTTCATGTATAAAAATGACAACAGAAGATTTCTTTGTGCTGTGATTTAATTGGATGAACAGATCTGGCTGTATTGAAAAAAAACTATATATGAAGTTACAAAAATTGGTCTGCACCTGCATCCCCTGACTGATTGATAGGCACTCTACGTTGAAATGAAAATGGGTATCAATTCTGTCAGTGGAGCTGGAAGCTTTTGCAATGACAGGAACCCATTAATCAGTTAGGTTTCAAAAGCTTCATCTACGTTTATGGTCTTGCTGAAAAGAAAAACTATTGAAGCTTTTATGAGCCTCAATTTAAGTCTTTGATGTGACTTCTTCTTTGTTTGCAAACCTATTTGTCAATAAAGGATTACAATTTTCTTTCCTTGTGTTTTCTGGTCCAGGATCAATGACAATGAGTTTGAATTTAGGGTTTTCTAAGACTATTAAAGGTTTACTGGCTTTAAAATAATCACCAGCGATATTGTTTGGCTCTTGAGAACACAGGTGAGTGCTTGATGAGTGGCTGTAGTGGATACAAGTGGGGACATAGAGGTAGCATGGGAAATCCAAGGGTGAAATTAGATTGCATTGGGGTGTGAGGGAATGAGGTTCAGGGAGCCTTGAAATGATGCTGTTTGCTGGACTGCTGTATTGGAGAATTGACTGAGTCTGCACCACACTCCAAAGCATTCTACTGAGGCTCACAGAGTGATCTGCAAATCTGGTCTTTGTGCCAAAAGTCAAGAATACCCCACAAAGTCATAAGTGGATCAGGTGTGCATTTTGAAAGCTGCATAAGTACACAGGTTGGGTTCTCCCAGCCCAGACAAAAATTCAATACCCTGTCTCTGATTCAATACTAGTTTCCTTGGGAGGTTGGGCATGCTGACCTCTTCCTCTATTGTAAATACTTGATACCAAGTTGTTATTTAACATATTGAAGTTTTTAATAACACTGTTATTTAATGTCAAGTGACCCATTTTTTTTTCTGATCACCTCCTTTCCCAAACCTACTTGCAAAAAAACATGTTGATTTTTATATTCCTTACAAATTTCTTTTCATATTCCTTTTTTGAAACTTTTACTAATGGTTTCTAGAAGAAACATAGATGATAGGAGCAGAAGGAGGCCATTTGACCGTTCCAGCCTTCTGTATCCTTTACTGTTGTGTGTATCTTTTCCATGTGTGAGAATCTGTGCTTTTTCTTACTGTTCTATGCCTCTATATCCTCTATGCTCCCTTAGCCATTGTCCCTTACAAATATGCACCTGTACAGTTCACAAGAACTAAGCAACAGCAATGGGGATTATTTTAAAATTATTAGAAAACCAGCAAACCTTTAATAATACATCGTGTACTTCTTATTTTCCATTGATTTCAAATGGGTTAATTTAAAAACAAAAGTCAAGATGGCACAATTAGTCTTTTAAAATTCTACATCAGTAATTTACTGCAGTCTTTTGTTTTGCTCCATATAGTCCCATTCCAGTTTATATGCCAGATTTTTAGTACATCAATCCAAAACTAATCCCACTGTTGTATGTTCCCTTCATAGCCCTTTGTAAATGTTTCTTTACATTTCCCTCAACGTTATCTGGTTCAATTGCTTCTTTGGGCAAAGTCTCTGAACCTTTCTCGTCATTTAGCTGTTGTTAATTTTAAACTGATGATTGCACTTCAACTTCCTACCAAGAGAAAACAATATTTATTTCATTACCATTAAAGTTTAAAAATGTCTTCTTAGCTTTCCATTCTCCAGCAATTGAGCCAGTTTCTCAGGTCTCTGCTTATAATTATAGTCTACGTCTCTCGTATCATCTAGTGAATCTACATCGTGATCTTGAAGGATTTATAATGCTTTTGGTATTAGAGCATCAAAAACTTCATGTAGTACTCATAAGTTAAGGCCCAATGACTGTCTATTTGTATTTGTATTTTCATTGTGCATCTGAACTTCCAGATCTCCTCTTTTATGTATATCCTTCAGCGTGTTTCTTTCTAATGTGTCCGCTCATTCAACAAAGCCACTAATTTTTGGGTAGGTGATTTAAATACCTGGTCCTTTTTTTATTTTTTGAATATCTGAGCTTGTTTCCTGCCAATTAGCATTTAAATATAACAAGCTTAAAGGAAGTTAGGAACTAGAATTCAGCCAGATGTCAGGTTCCGGACCCCGCTTTGGAAAACAGAATGACAATCTCTTTATATAAAATTGAAGAGCTTAGGAAATACGTTTATTGTGTTGTACTGCATTATTACTAACCACAAACATTAGTAATAGAAGCATTACTAGAATAATACTAAGGAAAGTTCAAAAATAGCCATATACATCATAAATGCCATTTGGTATAAAGAAAGTACATGCGAAATATCAGTTAACGAATCATTTAAATGCAATTACTTTTTCACCAAACAATATTGAACACAAATAAAACTACTTTTCTCCAAATAATATTGAACCATACTTTCCATTAGGTTCTCACCAGCAATCGTTGTATTTCTACGATAGCATAATTTCCCTGTGAAATCCACCTTGTTGATTCTGACACTCTGAGTCCTGTTCCAGAAAGATTGATACTAAATTGACCCTGAAAAATAATACCTTTCAGTTATTATAAACTGTCCACATTTATAAGAGTCTGAAAAATTCATATTAGACCATTAGGTTTTGAATTAGTATAACATAAAGCTTTCGAAAGTTAGATCTAAGCCAATGAAAACTTGATCTCAACACAAATGAAAGTGAATAAAACTGGGGAAAAAAAACACTCTTGCTGATTATTATTATTAAGTATAAGTAATATTATTAAGTATAAGTATTAAGTAATAAACTGTTATCAATTTACACATCCTTGTGAAATTACTTGTGAATAATGGTTTAAATTGTAATGCATTTATTAGTGAAAAAAAATTCTGTGAATAAACAAAGAATTCTGGATGCTGGAAATCTGAAAAACAGAAGAAATTGCTGGAGAAACTCAGCAAGTATGGCAACATACTTGGAAGAAGCAGTGTTAATGTTTTGAGTCCAGTGACCTTTCTCCAGAGCTTCTGAAAGTATAGAGTTTCTATGCTAAGCTATTATATCTAGACTTACAAAAAACAGTGAACGCAATTTCACATTCAAACTAGTACTTATTCAAACACTGTAGAAATTTTGGCTGTGTTGAACTATTATAATTAATGAAGGAATTCACATTAAGATATGTGATACAGAAATTGTATTAATTATATTTATAAATTGGAAACAAGTAGATAGTATCTAATTGTATTATTTCAGAACTTTCTGCAGAGGGCACTGCTGTTGCGCTTACAAATAGAAAATTTGGTTCAGATAAACTTTATCTCATAGCTGCACGTTGAGACATATCTGCATTACTGCACAAGGTTTCCTTTTGAAGTAATGTAAAAATGGTCACTCTTTCGTGGAACAAATAAATAACAATTATATCCAGAGATAATCATCATGGAAAATGTATAAGGCCTTATGACATGCCTGGTCATTTTAACAGTGTAGGTTATTTTAATTTAACTTTGCCTGTTGCAATTAGAAAAAAGCAAATCATGAACTACATTCTGATTATGTTAAAAGTATAACTCAGTGTAAACACTAGTCCATATCATGCATTGTATGAAACCATGAGAAGAAGTTTTAGAGTGCCCACTATCACCTTTACAAGGCTACAATGTACAATAAATGCTGGCTCTGGCCTTGATGCTTATGGGCAGTATATTCTCATTTGCAGTTGAAACATTTTGTCGGGTGAGATTCAGAGTGCCTGGTCCTGCATAGCTCAGTGACTTTTCTCATGCAATCTTCGGCTCGCCCCATTCATTATGTAACTGGGTTCTAAAGCGCCTTTCTTGGGGAATCGTATTGCTGGAGTTGTGGAAGCTTTAGGCACTGTTGGGACCTTTTGGCTTTCAATCCACTAGCAGCATACTTAAAGCCCAGCTGCGTGGCACTTAAGATGCTGCAAGCCTGGAACTGGCCCTCTCACTGTTGTGCTCAACTGTTTTTTAACAAATACATAGCCCAGAGGGAAGGAAAACTTGCTCCCTGGAGGTTTTGGTGGACAGGGCAGTGGAGAGAATGGCTTTCTTTATCCACAACAAGAGACCATACCATCAGACCCAGCCAGGCTAGACACAAACTGCAACCCAGATCAGTGCTGTATCCTGGCTGAAAAGAAATGCTCAGTAGAAAGAAGCTTCGTGATCTTCTGCACTCTACAAGGATAAGTTCCATCATCTTTCCTCTGCTACCTTGCACTCACCCTAACTCTAACATCACACTAATATCACTAAGGCTCCTGGACATGGAGAGATTGTTGGATATCAGACACCTCACTCCCAACAAGGAGAAAATATTCCATATTGATGGAGAATAGCATGACTATTCACATAGGGATGGAGGGACCTCAATGGGTAACCATCCCAATAAGTTTCATTGTGCTGTATTTCTCTCCCTTTACCACCACAAATTCTTTCTTAATTTGCACAAGCTTTCAGGCATCTGTGACAACTAATTCCCTATTCTTTGTTGCAGGCGCGAGCAAACCTCCATAACATGGTGATCGGGCCCTCAGCTTCACCTCCATCTTGAGGAGGAAGCCAATGGTAAGGCTTTCACATGCATCCTTCTGCAGCTCAGATTTTCACCTCGGTAGGTTTTTCTTTCAGGAGCATAATCTGATAGGAACTCCACTAAAACGTCTCTACAGCTGGTGAGTGACAAAATCTCTAGGTTTCTGACACTCAGAGGACTGCAAGAAAGTAGGCAGCTGCTCAGCCCCAGGCAGAAGACAATTTCATGGCCTCTGCTATTAATGACTTTGTCAGATTGCACAGGGACAGCAGGTAGGTTTGTCAGAGGCACTGGCTAAGCTAAATGAACAATGGAGGAGTCCACCAACATCATCAGTAGTGTGCTGGCTCTGCCGTGTGTGTCTGGCTGAACAATTTGGAGTTTGAGGGGAATTTGAGGGGCAGATCGAGCAGACTCAGTGTCTACCAGATTTATGCATGGCCTTGCACTTCATCAATGTACCTATAGGTACTTAGCATCAATGGCAAGGGAAGAGTGGGAAAAGGGACCTGAACTGTACTCCAGATGCCTCTTCATCTCAGAGGGGCAGGGTGATACCAGCAGGTACATTTAGGGAGTCAAAGGCCTTCCCCAAAGCTACTTGTCAGGACACTCCAAAGATGCCAGGCCCCTCTACTGTGATGTGATGCCAAACCTGCAGAAGTTCTAGCCAAATAGGTAAAGCTTGCATCTGAGCAGGAGGCCTTCAGCAGGCATGGGCCCTCTAGATCCAAAGACATCTGGGATGACTGCTCAGGACTGAAAAACTCACAGGGCCAACCACAGAGCAGGCTCTGTCCATCTCAGTTCTGGAAGCTGGGTCTGCACTTAGTCATAGTGAAAGAGAGAGAAAGAAGAAAATACACTGAGGGAACACTGGTGGCTCAGGTGACATTACTGTAGACAGCATTTGATGTAAGTCAAGTTATCTTCACTTGCACTGTCAAAATGTTTGCTCTGGGGTCAATTTCACAGTTGGACCTGGTTAAATCACACCCTGTGAGAGATGATCAGCCTCTTCAGACATCCCAAGGATGAACAAAATGACCAAACATTCTTCATGTCTCATAAGCAATTAACTTTGTCTGCAAGTAGCCTCAGACATCAGGGATCTTGAACTGTGATGTTGATGCCTGCAGCCAGGGTGTTGCAGTGTAATGTGGACAAGACGGAAGCTAAGCAGATTGTGCAGGGAAGTTGCTAGGGCCAGGTCTGCACAAATGCACACTTTGACCCAAACTGTTAGTGAGAGTACAGAATCAGTGATCCCACATATCTCTGTAGAGAAAAGATCATTCTATCTATCTGCTTTTCAACAGGCATCTTGCATGTCTAGTCCTCCTCATAATCATAGTTCGGTCCAATGAGAGAAGCTGCACGCTTCTTGCATTTCAGGGCAACTCAGCAGTGTACGCACTCTCTGAAACACTGAAGGGTTAAGCATCATGAAAGGATCAAAAGGAAATTCCTCTCAATATCCTGGGTATTATGAGAGACCCCACTGAACAAGACTCAAATGGCATCCTCGCCAATGTCTTAAGAGTTCCCTAAACTTAGTGTCCCATCTCCTCTGACTGTTGCTTTTCCCGTAACAGCCATTACATGTCCTAATGTGCAGATTCTTTAGAGTAGAATTGCCCAAGGATATCAAGTGTGTAATCTCATGGTTAACAAGACACTTAATCAGCAACACAAGGTCAAGAACTGTCAAAATAATAAGGTCTACATTGCCTTTGCATGAAGGAGCAGCTGCTTGCCATATTACCAATAGAATCTTAAACAATTAAAAAGGAAATCAAATGCATTTCATTCATCCTGGGGGTAGGTTTCAGTGATGTTATTTCTGGCCTCTTAGGCTCTGTGATACATTACTCCATCATGCTCTCCTGGAAGGCCTTCCTGGTCAGTCCTCAGCCTCATCTTCATCCTCTGTAAGTTGCCATCATTCCTTCATTTTGGTTGTAGCCAGAACATGCTTCTTTTGTTGGCTCCAGCTGTGAAGGACGCAACGTATAACAATGATGCAGCACACCCTTTTGGGGCTATACTGCTAGGCCCCACTGGAATAATCCAGCCATTGAATCTTCATTTTAAGGAGCCTGTTTCACTATGACTCTAGTGGAAACACGAGCAGCACTGTATCTTTCTTTGGTGCCAGTCAGAGGGTTTTGAAAAGTTCACATGAGCTATGTTTTTTGGTGGCCTCTTGTACAGCCCAAGGACCTTGGAAAGAAGCAGGGACCTAACCTGTGAGTTTTCTAGTATCCAGACATCATGGCAATTCCCAGGATCTGTGCAGACCTCCAGAATTAAGCACTGTTGATCACAAATAATTTGTGTATTGATGGAGAGGAAGCCTTTTCTTTAGATGAATTCTGCAAGTTGGTGTGCATGCGGTCTTAAAGCAATATGGGTCCATTTGATAGCATTCAGCAACTGGGGAAGCCAGTGATGGTGGAGAATTCCACAGGCTGGACCGTTCGACTCTCTTGTTGGGGGGAGAGAATATGAACAATGATGATCTGGAGAAAATTTCATTAGTTACATCCCAAATGCAATTATGGGCCAAGGATTAGGAGATGCTACAGGTCTCCAGTTAATCCCTGAATGAGCCACAGGCATAAAGGTGCAGGGCAGCTGTGATCTTGACAACCATTAGGATGGGAATGCCACCCGTTTCTTCTGAGCACAAATCCTCCTCCAGCAGAAATGGGTGGTAACATCCTTAATTGGTGCCTGCATTGTCTTTTAGAGAGTTGGAGGAAACAACATGGAGACCTGTAAATCCAGGATCTCATCACTCACCTAAGCTTCCTTGGGCAATCTTCACTTGCTGTTTCTCCCTCAGGAAGCTGTGAAGCAGCCACTGTAGGTTGCTGTTCTTGCTGTCAAAGCTGCAATTATCATCTCCTTCCATGTTTCATTTAATGTAGCACTAGTAAGGCTACAATTAAACCATCAATGATATACTCCATGACAAGTCCGTGAGCAGGTAATCTATGGGGAACATCACAAAGATAATGGCCTCGCACCTATAAAAGTGAAGCCTCCTTTTAAGACTTCACAAAGAGTAGCCTGGAGACTTTCCGAAGAAGTCACTAACAAACCTTCCTATGGAGCTCTGAGGTATGTGACCATATCCAGATCTTTATAGCTTAAGTAAAATGTCCATTCTACATTGGGAGTAGAATTCTGTTAGTAAGCCACCATGAATGAAGTCCCACCCTATGCTCTCCAGTGGCTCTCTATCACTGGCATTGATCTCTCATTAACAGTATACAATGAAGCCAATCCCCTGACCTGATTTGGCTTCTTTCCCCAGGATTCCACAGGCTGCCCCTTATAGGGGCAATGACCATTTTTGACTAAACCCCAGGGCTGACTGTGGCCCATACACCTCCCTTCCCACAGACTGACATGGTAGAACTGCCACAACTGACTACAGCCCACTCCCTAACTGATTTATCAATAGCACCCTGACTGACTAAACCATAATCCCCGACTGCTTGCACTTGACCAGCAGGACTGACCATGATCGAACCTGCAAGGACATAGATTCCTGGACTCTGGCAGGCCGAAGCTCCTGACTGAATGTGGTCAAACGCCTTGACAAAAATTGGACCAGCTCCTGACTGACTATGGTGGTACTCACTGATTGATTGACTGTGGTCACCCTTCTCCCCATTAAGGCTTGCTCCTCTTTCACTTTCACATATAGCAATTTGCTTGAAGCACGTGTAGTTGTTTGCCATGTTTTCTGCTAGTAAATGCTACAACCCTGACATGAAAGTAGCACGGTAATGCACAGTGACAGATCGACTTCCTACCCGACTGACAGATTGAATGTTCAGTGTTTCCAACTGTCACAAGCTGCTTGCCTCTCACTATGCACCAAAAACCAATGCGAGCCAGGGGTTCTAGCAACCTGTAACTCAGTACTAAATATACTGTCTACTTAGAAAGCAATGCCCCTCAGAGGGTGGCAGCCTGTAATTTGGGGTTGAGGTCAGCCAGTATGCACTTAGAAAACAAGTAGGCATAGGCTGTCTGTCTCCACATAGGTGGTACAATCTGCAAGCTCTAAGCAAGCAAGCAAAAAGATATAAGTTGCATGTGTCCATCTGAACATAACAGTATCCTGTTTAGATGCATGAAATGCCTGTCTGTATATGCATGCATGGCAACCTGGCATAGCATCGAAGACATTCACGTTCCTGAGCTCCAAAGTAAAGTCTTGAAGGACTGAAGTTGTGTCTGAGCTGGTTTAAGAGCAGGCATGACGATGTGATGAGGCTGCTGGATTGCAGATGTTGACTTACGTGGACGAAGGTTCAAGGATGACGGTGGATGTGGAGCATGCAGTGAAGCAGTATTTGTGTAACATTTGGGAGAAAAACATTTTAATGAGATTTTAATGAAATTCAAATACATGGAATTAAAGGTAGTCACTGCTCAACAGTGAGATCCTAAAACCACCATCTAAGGCTTGAGAGAAAATCAGAAAAGTTTATCTTGTGTTGAGAATCAGATTTTTAATTCTCACGTACTTTTCCCTCCTTTCTCACTATTTCTCATGCCATACCAGCGAGAGGAAAATTCTGCCCAATGTTCCAAAAATGAATGAAAAATGGTGAGTTCTTTTTCCACATTTACAGGAATATTGTGTTTTTGTCTTCAGTCTATTTTGTGTATGACTGAATTTCTTCTTTTCCTTTAGTTTCCCAGAATAAGCTTTCTTTACTTAATTCCCTCTAAACTTCCAGGTAATGTAGTTTAATTTAAGATACACAAAAATATATGTCAATAAGGAACCAAAGTCATAGATGTGCATTATCCAACCGAATTACATGGTGAAGGGCAAATTTAACATTTTCTCGCGTTCAGAAGGCCATTGAGTAAATGACATAATAGGAAGCAGAACATTTAAAAAAATCTGAAGCAAAAAACTGAATGTAATTAAGTGACTAATTAATAACATGACTCATGTGTGACACAGAGTCTTGACTTCCCACAACCCACTTGTAGCAGTTGAAGCTTCTTCACCTATCCACTTGCTGACTTGGAGCTGCTTCTCATCACGCACTCAGGAGGCACCTGTCCCTTGCAGTTTCCCTCTTCACCATCCCCTCCAGCAGACTTGCTGCCACTTTCATTGTCCAGACCTTAGGCTAAATGAAGTTAGGCCCATTTGTACAGCTCATTGCTCCTTCAATCAGAGCCTGTTTGTATGCTGCCATTAGGCTCTGGTGAGCCTATCAGTAGCAATCTTGGGACAGAAAGGACCACTGACTGGAAACACATCTTGCAAACTCTTCCAGTTCTACTTCCTGTATTGTAGATCAGGTGGGCCACCTTTTGGCCTGCAGACCACCTGTTGGACAAGTCTACAGTGGATGAAATTGAGACATAAATCAGCCGTGATCTAAACGAATGGTGAGTGGTGAGCAGGCTGAGTGGCCTACTCCTGTTTTCACACTGCTCTGATCCTAGTGAGAATCTACATGCACTACAAAACAAAAATAGACTAAAATGGATTTCGCTGTACAATGCACTAGACATTCACGTCTGCAGAAATATAATTGAATTAGTTTTCAGTATGAGAAAGACTCATACCAATGATATCAGAATCTGTAAATGTAGAAATACGCTTGGAAATGTCAACTTTGCTTCATTTTATGCAAATATGAAAAATGCAGAACAGTACTATTTTCTTTCTTTGTGCACCAATTGCTTTCTTACACAGAATATGAAGAACATTCTTTCATTGTTTGTAGTTCATTTTACATTTCATCATATGTTTTAGTGTGGGTAGGTGAGTACATAATAAAACCATTACAAATGCATTTAATAACCAACAAGAAAGAAATTGTGTTTTTGCTGGAAAATTAAATAGTGTGTTTTAAAAAACAGCAAAAAATTTCAATTACATCTTATTCTATTTAAAGGATGTTTAAGTAATTTTGTGGGCATGACTATGTGTTTTTACAAGATTTTTCTCTTTGACCTACCAATTATCATAACAAGTTATTCTGATACACTCGACTAATTTAAACACTTAAATAAATAATAATAAAACAACTCTTTCAGATTAATGTTTGCATATTTGTATAATAAAATCAGGGTTAAATATCAGATCAGCAACGGAGCAGTATTCTTCAGAAAATATTTTGCTAGCTTTACAGTTCTCTTTATGATTTGTTTCCAAGTTAACACTTTTAAAATATGAATTTTTTTTTTCTGTTCATCTTACAAACTCAAATAGAGACATCATGTTTGTAATGGTTAAGCAGCACGTTAGCTCCACAAAATGATACTCTGTAAATGATACTCTAATATCAGATTACAGATTACATGATTTAGTAAATACCACTTTAACCACGATCAATAGTTACACTTTAAATATGCCAAATCACACTATAATAAACAAAGTAGTAGATAATCAAGAAGATAAAGTTGTTACCTGTGGACATCTGGCAGCACTGTAACAGTCACCAGCTGTAGCAAATGGAACTGATCGGCCTTCAAGTGTCTGTGCAAAGTACAAGTCTGTTGCTATGAAGACAGAAATGGTTGAGTTGTTGAAAATATGCAGAAGAGTCAAGGTGAAGAAGCAATATGCAACAACAACATTAATCATTACAATTTTGAATAAAATATACCCTATTCGTACATACCGAACTTGCATTTTAGATCTTCCTAAATAATGTTTTCTGACTTTGATGAACAATGGATTAATCTTCCCATGGTAGCAGATGGAAAGTGGTACAAGCAGCAGGATAATTAGAAATGATTTCGTATTTTTTTAAAAAAAATCATTTTTATGCTTTTCCAAAATTTTAAATGGTGTCATTTTCAGCATAAGTTTTACCATCACATGATCGTACTGGACAGAACATTCCTGGGAATTAAAGCCTTTGTCAATGTCGATCTCATTTGGTGGGAAATGGTATATTTGAGTTCTGATTCTGAGTTTGATTGAACTAGATTTCCTACTCCTGATTATGATGGATATCCATGCATATTTGCCTGGTGGGGCAAGAGATATTTGGTTGGGCTCAGGAGAATTGCTCTTACGTAAAGATGCTAAAGTTTATGAAATTTCACTGCAGTTTGCATTAGTACCTTCATGAAAGGCAAAGGACAAACATTTCAGGGTAATTTAGAGGAGTGGACTAAAGAATGGCACATATCCCCTCATGTCATGTGCCATTTCTCATCATTGGTTGGTAATACTACTCTAGCTAACTTTGAAGATGTAAAGTGACCAGGTGACTCACTGATTTTTTAAATCCTGTTGGGAGGACACGTGCCTTTTTTATTGCCACCTTTTCTTTCTTTAATGACTTGCATTTATTTTATTAATCTTCCCTTTATTCTCCTGAAGATACTGACTCATGTTGAAATCCAATCCTACAGGTGCTGCACCTTATTCAAGTGACAATCCTTCAAGTGTGAATGTAGACAACACAGAATTTTTCTTTACTTTTCCACTCATTATGGATAGTCTCAGGATGTATGATGTAGGTAAATGGGTTGTGAAGGCAGTCTACCTGCGTCAGCTGCATATTATTTATGCCATCATATTTACATAAAGGGGAAGGGCCCTCTTGTGGTGTATTGGTAGCATCCCCACCCCTAGACTGGGAGGCCTGGGATCAAGTCCCATCTAGTGAAAAATCTCTGAATACTTCATTTAATTAGAACTATTTCAACTGTGACAGCAAGTGTTGTATTGCAATAGTGCATTTCCCTCATCCAAAATGATCACTGGTTATAATGCTAGTAGCTGTCCATGAAAGTTTAAATAACCCTGACCCAGAAGGAGGACAGAGGTCACTGTGAGGCAACAAATCCACTTCCAGTTGGAGGAAAGCTTTGCTGCAAGGATTAATTGTTGTTCAGTCAAGGTGGGGAATAAAGCAACAGAAAATAACCCAGTCCCAATCCTCCATTCATATTAAGTTTTCCAGTCAGTGTTGAATCATGAACAGAAGCAATAGCCTGGCTGATTTTTGCCTGCTACGGGACACACTGACAATTATAGCACTGCTGACATCAGCTTACTTGGCACAGGACAGGTGTGAAATGGCAAGTTTTTTAAAAATTTATTCATGCGTTGTGGGTGTTGCTGGCAAAGTAAGCATTTATCAGCTATCCCTATATTCCCTACAGAAGGCAGTGGTGAGCCGCGTTCTTGAAATGCTGCAGTCTTTGGGGTATAGGGATACCCATAGCACTGTTTGTCAGGGAATGCCGGGATTTTGACCCTGCAACAATGAAGGATTGCTTGTGGCTTCAAGGAAGCCTTGCAGGTTATGGTGTTCCCATGCACTTGCTGTCCTTATCCTTCTAGGTGGTAGAGGTTGTGGGTTTGGAAGGTGATGTTGGAGGAGATTTGATGAAATACTGCAGGCCATGCAGTTCTGTGCTCAATGGGTTAGTAATATATCATCTGGAGTATTTATTTGGGAGATTTTATATTTTTGTGTAAAAAAAAACATCCTGCAAGTTACAGGGCTGGATGAACACAGCAGGCCAAGCAGCATCATAGGAGCAGAGAGGCTAATGTTTCGGGCCTAGACCCTTCATCAGAAAAGGGGGAGGGGAAGGGGGTTCTGAAATAAATAGGGAGAGAGTGGGAGGCGGATAGGAGAGGGATAGAGGAGAGGATAGGTGGAGAGGAAACAAACAGGTCGAAGAGGCGGGGATGGAGCCAGTAAAGGTGAGTGTGGGTAGGGAGTTAGGAAGGGGATAGGTCAGTCCAGGGAGGACGGACAGGTCAAGGGGGCGGGATGAGGTTGGTCGGTGGGAGATGGAGGTGCGGCTTGAGGTGGGAGGAGGGGATAGGTGGGAGGAAGAACAGGTTAGGGAGGCAGGGACGAGCTGGACTGGTTTTGGGATGCGGTAGGGGGAGGGGAGATTTT